TCTTATACCTTCGTTTTTTCAGTTCCAGAAAGAGAATTAAAAAAGATACAACAGTATGAAAAAATGATCAATTACGAAAGAAAACTCATCGCGATTGTTAAAAGTGATACCAAGAAAAGCGTGGACGCAGCTGCATCGCGATGTCGGCACTTTGATGCCGCATAAACGACGTCCATTGAACAATCGGGAAACATCGTTCCAACTGTGAATACCAGTCGCCACGACATGACTTTGAATTAGCATGTTTGACGGCCGAGCAACCCTTTGCCCAAGAATAGTTGACGAAACGTGGCGTGCAAATTTAACACCGGGACGTCTCTTTTCAAAGTTTCTTCTTTGACGCCTTTGCGAAAATAGAACCGCGTGAAAATACGCGACGAATCGATCATCGTGTCGATGATTTTAAAATTTCGCGATAGGAGTAGCGGAAAATTTGCGGGTAGCCTCGGAAATTAAGTATTTACAAAATATACGCATGTGCATAATCATTTGGACTGTACAATTGAAATTATTGTACTTGGAATATAGCGCAGGATTTAATATAATTTCTGGAAATGAGAATTTTTCAATTTCAGTCTTTAAATTTTTGATTCTTCGACAATCTTCCAATCTTTAAATTTTGCACCTTTGAATTTTTTAATTTTACAGATAGGTTAAATAAAACTTCGTATATTTTACTTTGTCAAGGAGACTATTTATTTGATAATAATAGATGTCAAAGATTAATTCATTCCATACACTTGTTACAGTATCTGAGAATTTCTTTATTTTACATTAATTTTCTCATATTCTATAGTTCCTCTAGATAAACTTGCTTCTAATAATTAACAAAAGTAACGTTCGATATATTTTGGACAGTAAGAGATTAAAATGTACTTCGTGCCCCTTCTCTATATAAAATTCTTTAGTCGTCCACGGGAAATCATGCAATTCGTTACGCGACAACCTTCCACGTCCCTAATTTTCACGGAACCTCTAGGTAGAAATACATACAGGCAGGATTTACTGTTTAGCTACCGTGGAAAACCATGGCGAATTTATAGAGTGTTTTTCTTTATTTCGATGATACCTGGTCGGCTGTCATCCCACATTATGCCAATGACAAAGCGTTACTAAATACGTGGACATACATATATCTCTATCTTTTAATACGAATTAAAATACATCGACACTCTCTTTTCTATCAGTAATTCAAATATATAAAATTTCAAACTGTTTCTTTTGTCAATTACACATCTTCCTGTCTTATTTTATTTTATTTCTTTTACAACTCGACTGATATGTAAGAAAACTCCGATAATTATAGAACAAGATAGTCATATAAAATAGACCTCGCTTTCAAAAACATATTACCACTAATGTATACGGAATAACAAACAAAACCTTGCAATTCAAACTCAATACTCACTATGTCGAAAACAATTTCTCTCGTCACGAATCTGCATGCGAGTCAATGCGTGAATTATACAGTTCCTTGACATAAGTAGAGACGCGATCTACGTTACCAGGAACTAGCTAACAGAAAGTACTTGACTCGAGAAAAGTCAAAGGTTGACAATAGGGGAACACGAGCCACGCCCAAGTGCCGATGACCGAGCGCGACAAAACGATCCGATTTTGCTCGGGACGCGAAGAAAACAGCGGCAGCTTATGAACAGAGGTAGCAAGGTGTTGGCTAGGGTACAAGCAGCTTTCCTTTTTCCACGAGTAAATTTGACGTTAGCCAAATAAACACATTGAGGCCGGCTACGTTTGAAGTGGTTCCCGTTGACAGGATGACCGTGAACATCGAGCCGATTGTTCCGCCATGGATAGTCGGCTCCCTTTCAAGATCGGCTCGTTTGCCCTCGTTTCCTTCTCTCTTTTCCTCCTCCGCCATTGCACCGTCGTTGCCAATGATTGTTGAATGTTCCTTTTGGAAAGATCAGGAATCAAGATCAGTCTACGCGCCTCATTCCGTCGGCCTCGAGCACAACGGAACGCTTCAAAGAAATCCGCTTGCTATTATTTTCATTCTTCGGCCAAACTTTGCAGTGATTTCAAGACACATTGACGTCAAGAGTAATGTTCGTCTTCGACACTCGTCGCTAAATTATACAATCCCGCTTCGTGTTCACGATGAAACATTTTTTCTTCTTTTCTTGTTGTAGTGATGGAATTTGATCTTGGTATTAAATCCGCTTTTCCTTCTAGGACGTTCGTATATTGTACATTCTTTTTTAAAAAAAGCGGTCGCCGTGTTATAGCTACGTTTATGTTACGGACACTGAAATAAAACCCAATTGATTATTTGAAAAAAAGAGAAGCGGGAATTGCTACTGAAGAATTTAATAATCCTTTTATAAACATACTTATTATCTTTTCTCTGCCTCATCATTGGCTACAAAAGTCTATTAGATAAAACAACTTTGTACACGTTATACAAAGGTTTCCACGTATAGGAACCTTACCGATATCATATCACCATAAACATCAAAATACACGAAAACGATGATATTCGATATCTAACACAACCGGAAACCGAAATTAAATTAGATTCGCGCAATTTCATAAATTAAATACAACTTACGATTCACCGTGCGTTTTTAAATGTATTTTTAAGGTAGTTCTGTTAATAAAAGTTTTGGAACATACGGGACAAGAATGTGCACGGGACAGGTGGTACTTTAAATGTTCGTTGAGTTGTATGCTCGTTTTAAATAGTTTTTTACAGATATTACACTTGTGCTCTTCCTCACTATCTTTTTCCAAATGAGTTCTAGTATGTTTATCAACTTCACCGACGTTATCAAATTCCATCGAACATACTCTACAACTGAATTTTACAGCTCGAAGAATACCTATTTGGCTACCAGTTAACGGATTAGGTACTGGAAATACATTGTTGGTACTATCACCAATATTGCACCTTAGTCCCTCTTTCTTTTTATGGGAATTTATATGATTCCTATAAAAATATTCCCACATTAGAATCCACGTTAGATATTATAGTGTTTTATTGATATACATTTATAATCACAGATGCTACCTGTAGGCTTGTTCATTTCTAAAAGTAATGTTACAACTAATACAACGATGTTCTCGTTGAGATATTTGCTGTGTCAAAGATGGTGCAGTCACTTGCAGAATTGTGTTTTGTAATTGTATAGTAGGATGAACGATTAGATAATGTTGCCTCACATCTTCCTTAAGTTCAAACGTTTCTGTACACTGATGACACTTATATGGATGCAATGGATCGGTACTGACATGTAATCTTATATGCTTATCATAAGTCACTTGTGAGCTACATTCAGTTTGGCACATATCACATACGAAATGAGTTTTAGTATGAAGATATAGAGATTGTGAAGATGAAAAAGTTTGATGACACATGGTACAAATATTTCTCTCCACTTGGTCATCACTTTGTTTCATTACGTAATATTTATCACAGTATTCACATTGAAATGCTGGCTTTGAATCATAAATTGACTTTTTCAATTTACATCCACCTTCTTTACAAATTTCTTTTTTCCTAACTTTTTCTAGAGACTGATTTCCTTGATTAATATTATACATATTCTCTGAGAATTGTTGGCTTCCCTTTGTTAGCTGTGCCAGCATTCTGAGTTTTTTTGATCTTGGACATGGCTTCCCATATATTTTATCTATTTGTATCGTTAAACGATACAGTTTCTTTTCTATTGCCACTTTCTGATACAATTCTGGTTTAATATCAACAGATTCATTTCTCATATCATCTGATATCTCATGATCAGAACATATGTCCATTTTCTCTTCTCCATTCATTTTATCATTCTAAAACACCATAGTTCTTTAATAAAATATTAAGCACAGCAAATAAAACAAGAAAATAATAAAATTGTTTACATTTTCTAATTGATTACAAGGACTTTGTGGCGGAGTCACTGGGCTATGAGAATCGCTATCCAATTTTTTCTGCTTTATTGATGGAATTGTAGGCGATCTGCACCTGGGTTCATCTTCGGCTTTACGTTTTCTTTGGCCTTCTATAACAGAAATATTTTTAAGAACACTAATACTGAATCAAATTAAAGAATCTTGCTACAGCTATACTTACCATCTAATATGGTAAAAATAGTTGGGACAGCATTAGAAGTTAATCCCATTGAATCAGTAAAGCATGTTTTATCAAAGTGCAACTCACAGAGGTAGAGCATCTTATCGCTTTCAGTATTTTCATTCAATTTACAGTTCTTAAACCATTCATTCCTTCGACTGAAAATATCAAATAACGAACATAAATGTTATGCATCACAAGCATGGAGCAATTATAAACAATCAAATAACAAATACTCACTCAGTTTCTTGAGGAAAACAAAACAATAAAATATCTTTACCGTCAATTTTCGTATTTTCATTTGAAAGACAACCGTGTGCTTTGCAAGATAACATTGTATTAGTGAAAAAGATATTCTTAAACAAATACAAACTTTCATAAAAACTGAATGGTAAGTGTAGACAAGTAAAATTGCACACAAACAAATCCTAACCTAAAATCTGAAAACTTTTTGCGAGTACTAATAACTAGTATTCAAAGCTAAAAATTAATAAAAACGATAAGGGATAAGTGATGTATAATAATCAAAAAGCAGTTGCATTTAAAGTAAGGCAGTTATACTATACAATACAGGCGGCTACAGATTAATTGATGCAATGAAATTTAACCAATCACGTTCTTCCTATGTTGCATGGTATAGTTTATATATGTACGTCAATTGGTATCGTATTACATGTATATAATATCTGGTAATATGCAACTGGTCTCCCTAAATATGCATGGGAGAGTATGTAAGGATAAACATGTATGTGAAGTTACACGAATCTATCTAAAAAGGAAAGCCTATAAAAAGGAATTGATATGTATCTTGTAACAGAGACAAATGGTATTCTTATCTCTATATATACACATTTTACTTCAGTATTCTAAGCAGTGTTGAAATTATTAAACCAAGAAAAACAAATTGTTGTGAAAATAGATTTTTCATTAATTTAATTTGAAATGTACATATATATTATACAACAAATACATTATTTCCAATTACTTTGGTGTTTACTTTTTCTCAAATTGCATGGCATCCTTGTAATGTGGAACTACTAATTGTAAGTTGAATTAAGATTTAGACATGGAAACTACAACATCCGCAATTTTACAAGAAAGATCAAAAATATCTTTAATTGCAGCATCTATATTTATCTCTTGTGTGTTTGGAATTTGAATGCTAGATTTTTTTGGTGTTATATTTCTATTTGGAGTAGATGCTGCATTATTATCTGAAAAGATATGTAAAATTTTTATGCTTAAATATACTAACATATTAGCTTTTTTCTTTGAGAACATTATTACAAACTTTTCAAATAATTCTTTTTTCTATCACTAGTGGAAAATAATCTAGAATATTTTGGAGAAACACTGAGTCTATTAACAGAGGTTGTTTTGTATACTAATTGTTTTTGCGGAGATTCCCAGCTTGGTGTGACACTCTCTAGGCTATCATTAACTTGATATCTTGTTGATCTTTCAAATGGAATATTGCATTTGTGTCTTTTAAACAAGTATTTATATTTCCCTAAAAATAATTTTTTAAATATTAAAGTTTACTATTTATCTGATAAGAAACCTTACCTTGTATTGGAGAGACCAATATTTGATTTGCTATCTTTTCTTCCCATATATAGTCAGTACATAAATTAAGTTCTGGTGAATTTAAAATTGTGTCTAAACCCATAAAATTTAATATATCTTCATCTAATGTATAATTTATGGTTTTTTTTTGTAAACTATGCTGTATATCGTATAAGTTATTAGAAACTTGTTTCATAAGTTCTTCAAATGACTCTTCTAGAGATTTAACTGTTTTACAACGCTGTATTATTTCTTTATCACAATTTAATATATCTGATGACTTATCCACTTTTAAATAATATTTTATTTGTTTTAGCATTTGATCAAATATTGATAATAGGATTTTAAATACTAAACATCTTTTTATGTATAATCCAGTACCAAGCTTTAAATTAAATGCATTATAAATTATTTAGATAACTTTCTAATCCTTATGTGAAATATACTTTAATTTTTATATTTTTTACCTGGATATTGTTACTTGAATACAACAAAAGTGTTTTACTATTTATTTTTTGAAGATTTTTCCCATCAAGGAATATGCAGTTTACACATAAATTTGAAATTAAATTTTGTAATGTGCTACTAAAAGTCTCTAGCTTTTTAAGCTTCAAATATTTTTGGTTTAAAAATTTAATATTTTGAGCAACACTTCTCTTCCATGCTGAAAATTTATAAATTCGTAGATATTACAATTTAGTTTTAAAATTACCTTAATTATTAGTATAAAATGTTATAATATCAAATACAAACAATTTATAATTTCTGTATCATCAATATCCATTAATCGCTTTGTAATTAATGAATTTACTGGAAGCTTAGATATTAATTTCTCTATGTTACTTTTTACTTCAAAAATAGCAGTCTGTATTTTTATTAACTCAATAGCGTTACACCTAAAAAAACAAAGTTTTTATCTAACATATATTTCTTGAGATTTTTATAATATTTTTGAGATATAAAATAAAGATATATATATTTCACCGCATGTACTGTTCAAAGGATTTCAAACTTAATTTTGTGTTTTCATGAAATTTAGAAATAGTATTATCCTTCTCTATATTTTTAATGGTAAAATATGTTTGAACTATATGCTTACTATCACCAATATTAGGAGCTTGTAATAATTCAATTTGACCTACACAGAATTAATCATCAATGTATTAGCAAATATGAATGATATTAACTTATGTCAAAAATAAAAATTTACATGTTTTACTAATGTAAGCTTTTAAGCTAATTTCTGATATTTTCCACATAAGAATTAAAATCTTTTTTCCCCCTGCTTGTAGCAAATGAGACATAAGTACTGATGGAAAATTTATATCTGGATTCTCATTTGCTAAAACTGCAAAATATTCCCTTATTTCCATACGGTATCTTTTCTCATCCATCTTATTCAGAATTGGCCATGTAACCATTTTTTTAAATCGTTTTGCATTATGCACAGATAAGAGATAATGGGAAATGTGAATAAAACCTGTGGTATTTGGTTTGTCAAACATTCCCTATACATTGTATTATATAAAAAATACTAGTATTATTGGTAGTTATATAAATAGGTTTCATTTTCCTAATAATACCTTTTTAAAGTGTATTGTACACTCATAGGATGCAGGTACAACTTGCATAAGTAAAAATACATTTTTATAAAACGATTCATTAATCATACTGTACTATTTTTTTAATTATATTATTTTATAACTGTACATACAACATACTACTGTTATCATAAATTAAACATATATAAGTTGTATTCCAAAGGCATTCCAAAGACATACAAAGAAAATATTTGTGTACAAAATATGGATTCCTTATACATATATATATATATATATATACACACACACAAATATATATTGTTAGTTTATCAGAAGACTGACAACTAAAGAAAGTAATTATACAATCTTTAATAAATGTTATTTTATTGCGTATTTCTTTCTATTATATATTATTATATACTACTATATATATATATATATATATATATATATATATATATATATATATATATATATATATATATATATATATATATATATATATATATATATATATATATATATATATATATATATATATATATATATATATATATATATATATATATATATATATATATATATATATATATATATATATATATATATATATATATATATATATATATATATATATATATATATATATATATATATATATATATATATATATATATATATATATATATATATATATATATATATATATATATATATATATATATATATATATATATATATATATATATATATATATATATATATATATATATATATATATATATATATATATATATATATATATATATATATATATATATATATATATATATATATATATATATATATATATATATATATATATATATATACATATATATAAGAAGAAAATTACAAAAAGGATTTTGAATCATAATATTGTCTTTGTTAAATAATATAATTTTATCAAACAATTATAACATCCCTATTCTAGAGAATAATAGATTTCTATTTTATATAACGAGAGAAGACTATGAGTATCTTTATTCATTAATTTCTTATATCATTAATACTATTATAATACTAAATATACAGAGAAGGAATATTACATTTTTAAACATTATAAACAGTTTTCAAGAAATACCATCATGGATAAAAAAATATTTAATTTCGTAATGCCTTAAGTTTTCTTTGAATGTTACTTTTGGGTGCTGAGGCCCTTTCTTGCATCTAGATCCAACAATACAATTATGTACTAATTACTAATACTAATGTACTTCATGCTATGGGACTTTTAAAAAATGATCACTTCTGGGTGTAAGGCGGCGCCACTAGATTGTACCATAGCAACTCATCTCGGTGTCGTCGTGAAAGCTTTCAACACTATGAGCCATACACAGTGAAGTGTATCTGTCGGATAGTGGCGTGAAAATGGCGGTGTAAAATGGCAGGACGTAGATCGACGTTGACAAATGCCGATTCCCTATCGGGATCTGGAAACACCGATCCTCTTAGGGAACTGTTCGAAGCATGTAAAACCGGAGACCTTGCAAGGGTAAAGGCGTTGGTTACACCGAAGACGGTCAATGCTCGAGACACTGCCGGACGCAAGTCCACCCCTCTGCATTTTGCAGCTGGTAAGCATCATTTTTGCATCAGCTTTTCTTGCTCTTTTGCATTGATAAAATCCAATATGCAACTTGGAATTTCCTTCGATTCATAGCCTCCGATTGAAACCATAAGATTTCGTTGTCATGTCGCGGACTTAAAACAATTCGAACACTTAGTTCTCAATGTTGTCATATTACCATTTGAATAATTCTTTCGAAATCGAATATATTTATAATGAAATTTAAATATATTTTGTAGTATAAAAGAACTAAAATAATTATTGCTGGACACAAACTCATATTTTCTACATTTCACAAATGAAGAACATAATCTTTGTACCAAGTTTTCTTATCCTTCTACATTGATAATACCTAATATATAGTTTAGAATTTTCCTTATTACATCACTTATGATTGGCAACGTACGATTTCATCGTTACATTAAAAGTTAAAATAATTAGAACACTTAGTTTACAATGTTGTCATTTTATAATTTAAATAATGTTATTTGAAATAATGGAAGATAAACATATTTTTTATAAGAAGAAAAGATTGAGAAAATTGTTGTTGTTAATATTGTGTTTCTAATGTTTATTTTTTATTGTTAATATACAGGTTATGGTAGGATAGATGTAGTAGAATTCTTGTTGTCTGCTGGGGCATCCATTCAAGCACGTGACGATGGAGGTCTACATCCCTTGCATAATGCTTGTTCTTTTGGACATTCTGATGTTGTAAGACTGCTCTTAGAAGCAGGGGCTAATCCAAACACTAGAGACAATTGGAATTATACACCTTTACATGAAGCTGCAATTAAAGTATAATTTTATTCCATTCGATTTACTAATTTTCATTTAATTTCAAGACAATTTTATTAAATCTAATATACTGATTATTCTAATAGGGTAAAATAGACGTGTGTATTGCTCTGCTACAACATGGAGCAGATGCCAATATAAGAAATACAGAAGGGAAAACAGCATTAGAATTGGCAGATCCTGCAACTAAACCAGTATTAACAGGAGAATATAAGAAGGATGAATTATTAGAAGCAGCAAGATCTGGAAATGAGGAGCGTCTTTTACAACTTCTGAATCCTTTAAATGTAAATTGTCATGCGAGTGATGGCAGAAGATCTACTCCATTGCATTTAGCTGCTGGATACAATAGGTCAAGACTGGTGCAAATTTTATTGCAAAATGGTGCAGATGTGCATGCAAAAGATAAAGGGTAAATTTCTCTTTAACTCCAGCATTATCTAATGTAATTATTAAAAGTTGACATATGAAATAATTCGTTTCTAATGATTATGTTATAGAGGTCTTGTACCACTTCACAATGCTTGTTCGTATGGTCACTTTGAAGTGACTGAAGCACTTCTTAAACACGGTGCAGCAGTTAATGCCAGCGATTTGTGGGCATTTACTCCGCTACATGAAGCTGCTAGCAAATCCAGAGTTGAGGTGTGCTCGTTGCTTTTAAGCGAGGGCGCCGATCCGACTCAATTAAACTGCCACAGTAAAAGCGCCATTGACGTAGCCCCGACATTGGAATTACAAGAAAGATTGACATGTATGTTTCCTATGTCGATAGTACTCTTCTAGAAAAGCACACAGAACATGGTTTTGTTAGATACACTTTAATTGTAGACGAATACAAGGGACACTGCCTCTTGGATGCCTGCAGGCAGGCAGATCTTACTAAATTAAAAAAGTACCTGTCCCAAGAAGTTGTAAACTTTAAACACCCATACACTGGGGATACACCACTGCACTATGCCGTTGCATCTCCTTATCCCAAGAGAAAACAAGTAATAGAATCTTTAATTAGGAAAAATGCTGCCTTAAATGAGAAAAATAAAGACTATCTTACACCTCTTCATGTTGCTACTGATCATTCTCATTATGATGCAATGGATGTGCTACTTAGACATAATGCAAAAGTCAATGCTTTAGATGGATTAGGGCAAACTGCACTACACAGGTACTGTGAATTGTCTAGAACATTTAAAGTTTTTTTATTTCTTCATTTTATGATGAGAAAATATATGATTCTCTTACTTAAAAAAAATATTATTGCATAAACAGGTGTGTTAGAGAAGACAATGTGCAAGCTTGCAGAATATTGTTATCATACAATGTTGATCCATCTATAGTATCACTTCAGGGCTATACTGCAGCACAAATAGCTGCAGAAAATGTCCTTAAAATATTACAAGGTTCGAAACTAATTCACTACAGATACCAAATATTTTCCACCTGAAGAATGTTTCTATTCTCATTTTTATTTTACAGATCCACCGAGTGGCACAGACGACGCGGAAGCGCAGCTATTAGAAGCGAGTAAATCTGGCGATTTAGCGGCAGTAGAAAGAATTTTACGGACAAATCCATTGGCTGTTAATTGTCGAGACTTAGATGGTCGGCATTCCACACCGCTGCATTTTGCAGCGGGATTTAATAGAGTGCCTGTAGTTGAATATTTATTGGCACATGGAGCAGATGTACACGCCAAAGATAAAGGGTTAGTAGTTCGTTATACAATTTATTATATAGTTATTTAAACACAATAATCAAAGAAAGTATTTAATTTTATATATTTAGTGGACTCGTTCCTTTACACAATGCCTGCTCTTATGGTCATTATGAAGTAACGGAATTGTTGGTAAAACATGGTGCATCTGTAAATGTTGCGGATTTGTGGAAATTCACTCCACTTCATGAAGCTGCAGCTAAAGGAAAATATGAAATAGTTCGCCTGTTATTGAGACACGGTGCAGATGCCACTAAAAAGAACCGAGACGGTGCAACACCTTTAGATTTAGTAAGAGATGATGATCAAGACGTAGCCGATTTATTACGAGGGAATAGTGCACTTTTAGATGCAGCAAAAAAAGGAAATTTAGCAAGAGTACAGCGACTTGTTACACAAGATAATATTAATTGTAGGGATGCACAAGGTCGTAATAGTACTCCATTACATTTAGCCGGTAAGTCTCTTAATTTTTATCTTCCTTTTTTTTGTATTGATTCACGCAATATAACCTGCTAATACCTTAATACAGCGGGATACAACAATATGGACGTAGCCGAGTTTTTGCTTGAACGTGGAGCAGATGTAAATGCTCAAGATAAAGGAGGATTGATACCTTTGCACAATGCTTCAAGTTACGGTCATTTAGATATTGCCGCATTACTCATCAAATATAATACCGTAGTAAACGCTACTGACAAATGGGGCTTTACACCACTTCACGAAGCAGCACAGAAAGGTAGGACACAGCTATGTGCCCTTTTATTGGCACATGGCGCGGATCCTTTCTCGAAAAATCAAGAAGGACAAACTCCTTTGGACCTAGCTTGCGCTGACGATGTAAGATGCTTATTGCAAGATGCTATGGCTTCACAGCAAGTAGTACCGTCAATACCGTCTGGTAACAGTGGCGTCGGAGTTGCCATTAACTTAAATAGTAATGGTAATAATACTATTAACAGTAGGCCACCCAGTATCGTTGCGGGTAAATGTATTTCAATGATACATCTACAATTACAAATATATTTGTATGTTTATATATATATATATGCGTGTGTATATACGTGTGTATATCATTGAAATTTGTTCAGTTCCAGTTACACCACCACCACCACTTACTCAAGAAACCGTCATTATGCCTTCTGGAACAGCTATGACTCTATGCGTACCACTTGCTAGACCATCTTCTTGTTTAAGTCCAATGCCGCCATCTGAGACGTGTTCTGAAAGAGATTCCAAAGATTCTAAAGATAATTCGAATATTACGACTGTAGCCGGTTTTCTTCAGAGCCTTGGTTTAGAACATTTATTAGAATTGTTCGAACGTGAACAGATTACGTTAGATATATTAGCGGAGATGGGTCACGAAGATCTGAAACAAGTTGGGGTATCCGCGTATGGTTATAGACATAAATTAATCAAAGGCATGGAAAAACTTTTAAATACAACTGCCGGTACTCCGTGGCAACCGACTATTACACCGGGGACGTTATTAGTAGACTTATTAGCTGAAGATAAAGAATTTCTAGCTGTTGAGGAAGAAATGCAAAGCACTATTAGACAACATAGAGATAATGGCCATTCTGGTGGTATATTTTCTCGATATAACATAATTAGGGTAGGTTTGTTATACGTGATTGTAAAATGTATACTCGAATAATAGCTAACAATTTTAATAATTCATTTGTGATTTTTCTAAAATAGATACAAAAAGTGCAAAATCGTAAATTATGGGAACGTTACGCGCATAGAAGACAAGAAGTTGCTGAGGAAGTTGGTGCAGCCGCGCCTTCTTCTCCGAGTACTGGATCCAGGACTACTCCTGGATCGAGCTTGCCACAGGCGAACGAGAGGATGTTATTTCATGGTAGTCCATTTATTAATGCGATCGTTCAGAAGGGTTTCGATGAACGACATGCGTATATCGGCGGTATGTTCGGCGCCGGAATTTATTTTGCGGAGCACAGTAGTAAAAGTAATCAATATGTGTATGGAATATGTGGAGGTACTGGATGTCCTGCTCATAAGGACCGAAGTTGTTACATTTGTCATAGGTAAGCATATAGAAACGAATAAATTTTGAACTTTAAATTATTCTAAAATCATTATTATTATTCCTTACACTTGTAATATTATGTATATCATTTACAGACATTTATTACTCTGTCGTGTCACACTGGGAAAATCATTTTTGCAATTTTCCGCGATGAAAATGGCTCACGCACCGCCAGGACACCATAGTGTAATGGGTAGGCCGTCCCAAGGTGGTTTAGCTTTCCCCGAATATGTTGTCTATAGAGGTGAACAAGCATATCCGGAATATCTTATCACGTACCAAATCGCGAGACCTCAGCAAGAAAGTGGTGGAAATGAGAGTGTCGAAGAACGGTGATCAGAAGAGTCTAGCCCAGCGGCAAGGTTTCGAAGTCTTTGTTGCTGTCAGAGACCTCGAACGTGTAACACTCTGTCTTGAATCTGGTTGAAACAAATTACGATTTCGTTTTGGAATCAATTCTTCCATTTTTTATCTTCTTTAGCTGAAGTAGGAAAGGGTTGTTCGAATGAATCTACAATACAGTGATAGATAAATTTTATCGATATATAAGTATATATATATCGGATCTATTTGTTCAACGTTGAAAAGAAAGAAGACAATTGATAGGACATTTAATTTTTAGCATTTATTTTGTGATAATATACTGGTCTAATTAGACCACGCAATCGTATACATGCCTGATTATTGATGTATATTGACTGCAGTGTACATATATCAGTATGGATTAGAATATATCGAAGACCAGCATGATTTTTTATGTAAATTTAGGTGTCGATGAACGTGTTTATCTTTATATTCATACGTACGAAACGATGTTTCAATCATCACATCTAATTGTCGATTGATTGCAGCGTGATGTAAAATATCTTTAAAAAATCGTATAAATTTGGTGAAAAAGAAAAGCATAGTATTTCTATATCTTTGTCAATTTCAAAGTAAATAATTGTGCTGGTTAAAGCAATTACTTCAATTACATGCGTTATGGGTAAAGTTCGTGAGCAAATATTTAATTTGTAAATAACTAGAAATACGTTGTAAGTCTTCATAATATAATCATGAGCACAATCTGCGGACTAAAGTCAATTTGTTATTGACAAAGTTCTAAAAAGGTATATCTTCCTAATATAAAGATCAATTTATCGAATCGAATCTCACAAATGATTCCGTTCATGGTAGATTAATTAAAATGATTAATACAACGAATGGTATTATATTTAGTATTCGTATCGTTCGCACATAAAGCTTCGTTTTATCGTATAAAATTCAATTCAAACTTTCACATGAAACTAAAGTTTGGACTTTACCTATAACATGTATATACGTAAGCGAGTATTTTATATATTCGGTTGATATTTCGGACACAGAATAAATTCACTCGTGTTGTCGACATTATCAACAGGGTTCCTATAAGCTCGTAGCAATTTCAAATACTGTACATAAATATACATTTTATTGTACGTATATCTATTTTTCTCCACGATATACTTCGATTACATTCTTTTATCGTGTTTTTATTACTCTTCTATGTATAAGTTTGGATTCTTTTCTCAGGTGATGAACAATATATGTTACACTTTCATTTGTCAAATTACACAACGAAGCCACTCTTTTCTTGTACGTCTATAGCCGTGTAAACATTAAAATTACGAGTAAAAAGTCGACAAATATTTTAATGTGAATCGTATAAACTAATTAATATATCATAATTTTGTATATTTTATTCTATTATATAAAAAAAAGAAAGAATATCAAACAAGATGAACTTAATGTTCTGTAAACAAAAAACTATTTTCATTATTATTTAATGAAATTGCTAAAGAGATCTCTTTAGATAATAGGGATAACCGCGCTTTAATTAATTCGCGCAATTAATTCACGATATTATTCATACACATATGCGTTCAATATGGAGATCACATCTCTTAATACTAATGGGAAAAAAGAAGTATGCGAATTTACAATTGTACGTATGTGAAGTACAAGAAAACAGATGTTTTTACGATATCCGAACATGCTCTTAATAATTATTTAGGTGACGGTTTTTATTTATGGGTGTATATATCGAATATATGTGTTCGTTAAATAAGTGCTCAAGAAACTGATGCAACAAATCAACATTTGTTAATTCTGCGCTCTTACACGAAGACACGAAGTAATCAATTATTGTAAACTAACACATGAAAAAATTCTGTCCTTGTATTTACTGTATTCGACAGTCGACAACGTATTCAATTTCTATGCTTTGACTGTAAGAAGATAGACTGATTCTAAGAAAGAAAAAAATCGTTTTACTGTTACATCCGATTTTACACTTTCATTTCTTCGTTTTTTGCCTTACTACTGATTTCATAATTTAAAAAAAGTACGTACATCAATGTTTCAATAAACGTAACTAGACGATAGCAATATGCGAAAGAAAACTAATGAAATATAAAAAATTAATACTTTTTCTTCGTGCACTAATTTCTTAATATTTTGTCGTGTTCTTAGCTATATTAGATTTTCGTTTGTAATCTTTCGTTGTTAATGACAATGGATTTAACGGAGCAAGCTAGAGTATAATAGAAAGTTTTACATTGAAGAAATGCGACAGTGTCGTATTACCAAAGGAGCTCATTTATATCTCCGTTTATCCATGTCTCAGACAATGATGAAGAAGCAAACGATTCTGTTTCATTTCTACGACGTACAGTCGTTAGATAATTCGTATTTTTTCACAAATTATACGTCATCGATGCTGTTACATTACTGAGAAAATGGGGTATTACTAGTTTTTCTATTTTATTAAACCGCGTAATTTTCAAGCTTTCATACTTATTCTTATCAAAAATATTGTAAATTACTTATTACAAATTTTATGGGGTAGTCAATCATAATCCTAGTTTATTTTATGATTTATGGTTTTTGGGTATTTATGACCTTTGCAATCAATCCTCTATTATAAAAGATGCCTTAAAGAAATTTAAATATGGCGGCCAAATAGTGAACTGGCTCTACTTTATAGAACCGAGAATCTTATCTAAAAGTAAACAGAACGTAGTATGATAAACCAATTCCTTAATATGTATTATATTTTTGTCGTATATTTTTCTAAGTAATATAAGTGTTACATATATAAATATTTTTTCGTAACGCTAATTTCCGACTTTATTGTAAATTCAACTTCAAACAAAAGTATTATACGTACATATGTATATCACATAATTATCAAATCTAAAACTTTTCTATGATATTTCTATGATACAGAATAACAAAATCCGATTATATATTAGTTTTCTATAATTTACAACATTACATTTAAAAATATATTCTAAAAAATGATTGTACAAAAGAACACGTGAAGTTTTCGTTGGCAAGGTTTATAATACGATCGTAAAGGAAAGTTATTTTTAAGTAAAAATTTTAAGATATCAATTACAGTGATAAGAGAAGGGGATTAAATCTTTTTACCAATAGTTCCGAATTTGTTAACTTTGCTTACACTCCATGATTGAAAACGTATTGTGTATCATGCGAACAAAGGTATCACGTGTTCTTGTGGGTCGGGACGCTATCTAATACATTTGGATATCATAAAGTGGAACAGTCACGCAGGATTTCTTGTTATCAAAATAACTTCCAAATTTTATTTTCAGAGAATATTTGGACGAGGTACGATAAAAGTTCAGGTAAAAACCGGTATTGCTCGATAATCGACATTGCTATCCCGCTCTACGAAGCGGCTCTGTCACCCAGCAGCGTAAGAATGCAAGCACGTGGATTTAGGAGCGTTCTGATTCGTAGTTTCGTCGAAATCACGTGAAGGCCACGAGGCTGAGTCGGCGCATGCGCAGTGAGGGAACACCGGCTCGTCAGAGACGTGCCGTCGGATGACACTATGACACTCACGCCGCGCCGGTGCTTTCAGATTTTAGACTTGGAGGCAGTCGGAAAGTGTAGGTTAGATTGCGCGATTCTCGACCGTCACTACCGCTGTTAAAGGAACCTAATCATCCTCTTAAGTCAACTTAAGTGTCCCAACTATTAATCTCACGGAAGTAAATCCGTAAGTGTCACCCCATACACATAACAAGAGAATTATGCGAAATTCGTGACATTCGAGAAGTTGGCACGAACGATGCACTGCATCGTTTTCGCCACGTGAAAATCTTTTTATCGTGCGTACGCTGGTAATTAGTATATACACATCCATTTGCATCTCGTGTAAATTTCGACACTTTGCGACTCACTTCTCCTGTTTGCGCTCGAAGAAACTAAATACCTAGCGAGACAAAAAAGTCTACCGGCGTATTACGATGTGCTCATTTCACACGTTTTAAAGAGATCTATATATTGCGTTATACTTACGTCTCGAAGATCCTTTTGTCATTAACGATCTCAAAAAATAGACAATGTGACAATATCTGGGAAGAGTATATAGAAAATTGTGAAGTTCAAAAGAAGAACTGAGGCGTGAAAAATTAAGAGGACAATCTGGTTCTTTGGTTTCATTCCAATCTTAAGTAGTACTATTCTTCAGTCCAAAAAATACGTAAGTAGTATCTTCGTTATTCCATTATAATTTTTTACAATTTTTTTATTTCGCATTGTTGATAGCACAGTGTTTTATTTATAATTCAACACATTCACGACCATTGATTTTAGCAAAATCCTGAAGTATAAAACCATAAAATTCTGTAATTAAAAGAAGAGCAAAGATTTGAAAAGTTTTTCGCTATGTAACTATTATTAATTAAAGTCAATATAAGAAATTCTCCTTTCTTCAGAGTCACTAACAATTGACCCACATGAAAAACCATATAAAACCATAATACAATCAACGGTCGTTAATGTATTAACATGGATCAAATGGATTAAAACAATTTGTATCAAATCATCTTCTATCTCCATTGAAAGAAAAATGTAAAAAGCACTCCTGTGTAACCTGCGGAATTAATTGATTCGTACCGCGGTCGATGCCACATGAGAATGGAAACATTCGGCTGCGCATTGACTACGATTTCTTATGTAACAGAAGCGCGTAGGATTATACAATTGATTATAGTATGCAGCACTATGCAACTAGAAAATTTCGATAAAATTTGTTTGTAGTTGCGTTTTGTAATAGTAAGCACATAATAGTGTATTATCATTCGCGAGAAGCAAACCACTTTGTTTACAAACAAACTGTGAGATAACATTCGTTGGAAGTGCGTAATGAATGTCACGTAGAAAAGAGTTTATCTGGTTGGCATTATTATCTCGCTTATGTATCACATATATCACATATATCGCTCTAAATTTACCCATCAGAACCATATTAGATGCGCGAAATGTATGTACACTGCTCAGCGAAACACGTGCGCGTGATAATCGACCTGAAAAATTTCTGATATGCATTTGTATTTGCATTATACGTAGGAGAGACGAGAGCGCCAGAAAGCGCGATTACGGGTCTACATTTCAAAGAAATGCTTTTATCGTGTTAATAAAGAAAGGAAAGTGACACGACTGATTAGCGGTTATGGTTGGGAAGAACATTATTAGCAACGTTTATTGTTTAATGTCCGCCGTTTTGAATGACGCGAAAGAGGGATCGATTAACTGGCTCCTGACCTCACGACGACGGAAACAATAAATAAATATTGCTCGCGATTTTTATTCCACTGCTTTTTTTTTACACATTACTGATTATAATTGTGTTTTTAATACTCGATTCCAGATTAGTTATTTCAAAAATCAAATACTTTTAAAAAATACGAACTTTGACTCTATATCTGACTGACGTAATGTATATTCTGTCAACCTAAACAGTGCTAATCAATTTAATGTTTATATTATGACTTATTATTCAAATTTTGTTCAGTGTAATATACATATATTTATATACATTTTATCCTTGTTTTAAATTAAAAAACATCATTGTGAGGTGATTGGTAGGTGATAGTGTATTTAAGGAACTACTCTTGTGTTTAACGAACAATAATTTATTAACACACGATTTAATAGACAGAGTCAACAAATAACTGGTAACAACAACTAACAATTAACACCAAGGGTTCAATCGACGCGTTTGCTACGCAATGGTACTGTGGACTTATTTATTTCATGGCTCGAGACAGACTGTCCTTTTGTTCCAGATCGAACGGATCCTTCCCTTCGTTGCCCATCGATATCCCCACTAGCGTGCGTTCATTAGACCGCGGCGGCTGGCGCGTGTATGCTCTTCCGAGAATTCGGCGGAAGAAGCGTAAGGATATCGATGGCACATTGGGCACGTCGGTGTTGCGCTTTGATGGCGTAGCGCTTTGTATCGCGAAGCCGTTGGAAAGTTCCGTGGCACGTGCTGCCACAATTGTATTAATTTTGAAAAATGAAAATGTCTTAAAACAATTTAAATGTAATAACGTAACGAAAGTAGTGACTCGCAAGGATCGCGTTCGAGGTTTGTTAGCCGATTTCTTCTCGTAACCGGCTTGACTGCTCTCTTAAAATGCATTTTGTTCGTTTTTATGTACGCATGCCCGCGTGCTTAGTGCCCCCGCACCAAGTACTCGTGTTTTCCGGTCACTCGTCTCTCCTTGGACGCCTACCCGGGAGACAGTTGTATGAACGCAAGACGAATTGTTTGCACGTATTATTCCCACGCGTATACCACGACACCATGCATTTCCGGAGAAAGTGGAGAGAAATGTTGCAATTTGTATCCACTGCCTTTTAACCAGTAAAAAACAAAAATCAGAAAATCGACAAAATTGTACTTATCATGCATTTTCCTCCTGTAATCTTCATACTGAAATCCGTTAAACGATTACATTGCATTATAGATGATAATGAATAATAGAATTCCTGGTAACAGAATTATATATAGATATATCGAAAATAACCTCTATGCGAGATAGTTGTCTTCTTTTCATATTTTCAAAATGTAGGAATATGAACTTGTACGGTTGATAAGGTTGAGAGGAAGTAGTATGTACCGCGGTGAATGTACGATAGAGTTTGTCGCCCCTCTGATGCTTATGTAACACTTGATCGTTTTAAAAGCGTACGCTATTTACTTTTAGGAGTCAGGTTAGCGTAGGTGCTATTGTGTCACGTATTAACTTTACGTGTTCCCTTCTACTTTATATGTATTTAATGACGAAAGTATCTCGAATTGTGGTAGATCAGTGCTATTCTTTGAATATGATGTTTTTAAATTCGACATTAGTGTTACAAAATTAATTGTGCTATTTAGATGTTGAAATTCAGTTTTGAAGTGGAGTACCGGCTTGATAAGAAATACATCAGATTGCAGATGAAGATACTTACATATTTACGTACGCATTATTGTTGCATTACGTTATTTTATTTATGCATCGACATTATTGTATCAGTCTTTCACGGTTTATTGTTCCACATATAAATCAGCAAGAGTCAAAAGGCTATCTTCGCTTAAACGAATCTCAATGTTTCTCAAATATAATTGTATTCTAAACGTGGCATGACCTTATCGACCGTATAAATTTAGGTTTATTGTTGCCTTGTACGAATCTTAATCGTCAATCGTGATATCTTACACATCCTTAAATTTTACATGGTCCCTAAATTTTATCGATTAGGAAAGACAATGTGACCCAGTCGTCATACTTTGTGAGAATATCTGTACAATTTATCGCGCAATTCAATGACATTTGCTTTATCGATAAAATCGAATTCCTGGTGACTCTCGAAGGTACAATTGAAAAGAATTCAGATCGATGGTAAATCGATCATCGATCGATCGTGGACTATCATTCATCACAAGAGAATGTTACGCCGCGCGAATATAAAGAATAGCTAAACAAAACGTTGAAATAAATTTGTAATTTAAAAGTTTCAGAACTCAGTGATTTGAACATTCGAGAATTTACGAATTTAGAGATTTAAAAATCTGAGACTTCGATAATCCAGAATATCATCTATAATATATAATTCTAATTATCAAACTAAAAAATTTGACAATTCGAAAGTTTGAGGATTCAGAAAGCTGAAAAATTACGAACTCAAGCTATAAATAATTCTCGTTATAGATAACGCACATGTATTCGAACTGTTCATGCCCAGCTAGCATTGGCGTCAGATCCAATTATCTCGTTTTCCCTTTTTTTATCGTTATAGAAAAGCATCTCGCGAAATCTACGCGCGAGCATAACGTGCGCCTCTTCTTTATGGTTTCGGCCACTAAACTTTGTCCGGTAAAATTCCGTACTTGAGGGTGTACAGGCGGCAAGGATATGTCGGTTATCAGGCTGCTTCGAACCAGAAACGCGACGGTGATAACAGCCAGAGGACCGACCTCAACGGCGACTTTGATCGCTGAAATATACCAATTCCCGAGAACTTTTGCGGTCTGAGAATCTCAGCGCTTTCAGCCAGTAGCTTGTAACAGATTAGTAGCGCCAATGATGAATTGACTAATAAGATTTTTAGAAATACATACTCTTTAAGCACGCGGTCAGATCGTGGCCTAGATAGTAAAAACGCACGTGATGTTGTATGAAAGTTTTATGGACTATTTCATTATTCTAACTGTGTTTTACTAGTTTTTAGATTACCAAAAGACTCTCACGTGTCTATTTGTTTAATGTATTAAGTATTATTAAATTTATTTTTTTCATTTCTTAAATTATATTTTTCTTTTCTTCGCGGTCGTTAATATCCTTTGATCCTGACCTTGTCTGTCAATTTTTTTTCTGTTGTGTGATCGTAGCGTCAGATAGTGATTTATTGTGCGTGTTCTTTAATAAGAAATCGCTCAAGGATCAGTAGGATTAGCGCATATTTCTCAAGGCTGTTCTTTAATGATACTCAGCCGTAACTCGTGATAGAAGCTGATGCTATAAAAAGAAGATATTCAAATTTTGCCAACTCTACCGATTTGTAGATACGGTTCTTGACTCCTCTTTTCCTCTCTCTCTCTTTTACTTGTATTATGTACACGTAAAGGTGAACCGGTTGCGAAGAATCGTTCCCTCCGATCGAATGTTTACATTTCGTAAAAGCAAACAATTCTTATAAATTCCTATCTTTAAAAGCGGCATCTTTTTTTTAATCAATTTATCGAATTCTCTTATGCACGAAAAAATTATTATGTTGACGAAAAACTTCATAACAAAAAGATAGGCCAAATATCGAATGTATTTTCAATAATAATCAGTTTTAGCAGTCTCTGTTTTTGTATATAGCTGTTGTCTCATTATCATAGGTCAGGCATTCTCAGAGATCCCATTCTCTGGAATCATTAAGGTTTCGCCATTGTACATTCTTTCCTCTTATTCTTCCTCTCCCTTTCTTTCGCTCTCTATCTTTACGTATATTCAGGTCCACGTTATCGATCTATTGTGCAATGAGACGATTTGCATAATTGGCGCCGATATGTTATTAAAAGGGTACACATGCAAATGTTAAAGTAACAAGTTGCTATCAACAGAAATTATTTGCTTACTCGATTGTTTCTCTCGTTATCAGCGTCGGTATTACTTTGCGTTAATGTAACGCTTGATGACACTATTAACATAGTTCTTAGGC